GTGGTTCGTGGTTCGGAGCCACTGACACCGGCCTGCATTCTGCCCCGTGGCCACGCCAGAGGGGTGACACGGGTCACCAGCGTGCAGGTAAGCCCCAGGGGTCTTCTTGCTCTTCCTGCAACCTTTGAGGCCGCTGGCTCCGCAGCGGCGGGAGCGAGCCTTACCCTTTTAAAGGTGAAGCCCCGGGCGGTGGTTCGGAGCCACTGACACCGGCCTGCATTCTGCCCCGTGGCCACGCCAGAGGGTTGACACGGGTCACCAGCGTGCAGGTAAGCCCCAGGGGTCTTCTTGCTCTTCCTGCAACCTTTGACCCGCAGGGCCGCTGGCCGTTCCGAGCCAGCCCCTATCCCTTGGTCCCCAGGCCACAGGTGGAGCTGAGCAGCAGACCTGGAGGTGGCCACTCGCAGGTGCAGGGATCCCAAATTGCTAGGCAGCAAACCAAGGAGCAGGGACCAGATTCACACTCTGAAACAGCCCCCCCCAAAAAAAAACAGTGACAAATATGTGTGAAAATCTTCAAGATACGATGTTGGCACTTAGGATGGTCACCCCAAGACTGTCCTGCTCACCACCCAGGTGAAAGCCAGGTAGGACACAGGTGCAGGGAGCCCAGAAGAGCACTCAGAGAGCCCCAGGTGGCACAGAGAGACACCCCAAGGCTTCACTGAGGACAGAGCAGGTGAGAAGAAAACACCCAGGCAGGAGACAGGCCCCCCCAAAGGACTACAGCCACCTGGAAGCAGGTCATTGTGTTCCACAGCTGGAGCCTGGAGCCTCGAGATTCAGAGTGCAGAGTAGGAGGTGTTAGGGAAGGATCACCCTCAACAAGCAGTTCTTGTCCTTCCTAAGGGAGTCAGAGCTGCCAAGTACCTCAAGACGCATCCCAGACACATGCAGTAGTGCCCATTCAAGCCAGCAGGTGTGAGAAGCAGCGCAAAATCTCAACCCATGCTGGGGGGGGGGCAGGCCAAAGCAACCCAGTAGACACGAACAGAGCTAGCCAATGGGGCCTCACATTCTGTCTAGCATTGTGTCCACATCCAGGATGTTGATGCTGCAGAGACTTGGGAAAACCTAAAGCCACAGCCGAACTTCTGGAGATGAAGACGGGTGCCTGAGATGAGAAGTTGAGTGGGATTAATGAAAAATTGCAAACGCAAGGGTTGCTGAACTGGACTGAGACAGATCTGTCCAAAACACAGCAGAGATAATGGGCTTTGCCACCAAGGCAGGCCATGAGATGCCAGGGAAATTGGAATCCTCACAGGAAAGGAGGGTGAAGTGGGGAAGAAAAAATACTCTAAGAAAAAATAACCAGCTTTCCCCAGAGATAATGAAAACACAGCTGCAACCAACAAGAGCACCTTCAGCATCAGCATGCTGAAAACCAGTTTTGAAGAGCAGTTCCACAGCAGCTCAGAGAAAACAGTCTTCTGTGCAGAGTGGCAAAGATGAGTTCGCTTTGTGGGCTGGAGATGGAACCTCAAGAAAACAGTCGGCAGTTCCTCCGTGCCCCCCATCCCCACCCCCTGACTGTACTGCAAGGAGAAACCCACCCTGCACCAGTGAAAAATGCCTTTTCAAACAAAGGCAAATCAGGGAGTCCTTCAGATTCGACAAACTGAAGTCATCACTCATGTGTCTGTGCTAAAAAAAAGGACTTTGTTCAGGCAAATGGATGGTGACCACAGGAACCTGACTCCACTCAAAAGACTTGGTGAGCACTGGAAACTGTGACAGCATGAGTAACAGAAACAGTGTCCCTTATTATTTAAATCTCCCTAAAAGACAAGTACTTAAGCCAAAATAGCAACAATACATTGAGGGGTTTATATTGTGAGAGCCAAGTTTTCTGATCAAGGTGGTCTCCCTCTTTGACCTTTGCTCAGAATATAAAGACCAAGTTTTCTGGGCAAAGGGCTATAACAGCCTCCTCCCTATTTTTCTGTTCCTCTTCTTCTGACCCAAAAATGAATTTATCTCCTCCCTGATAGTTGCTTAGTTAGAGATATTGTGTTTTGCTGAGTATAGAGAGTTTGCCTAATTGTGTAAGCATAGAAAGTGTTCCTTAAGAATAGAAATAGAGTGCCCCACGCTGAGCTCGTGGGTATGAGATAATTCCCCTCATGGGTACCCCAAGTGTCCCAGTAATAATCCTTAGTAATGAAAAAAATAGTATCAATCCTCAGCCCTATATAAGCATGTCTTGAAAATGGGTTGGGCCCTTCACTTGGAAGCTGCTGTGACAGTGCCACTGGAGGTCCAGGCTCGAGTTTGCTGGGCACGAGCCTGCAATAAACTCCTCATGTAATTACATTGGACTTGACTCCTTGGTGGTCGTTGGGGATATCGCGACTTGGGTACAACAGTATCATGAAAGTTTAAAATGTGTACTTTCACACAGGCTAGGAAGGAAAACAGTTTTAGAAGCTATCTTGATATGTGAGATGATGGCATGCCACCTGAATTTGGACTGTGATGAGTTAAAGGTATTTAGTATGAAGCCATGCTGTGGGACGTACCTGGAGTCCCAGCTACTTGAGGAGGCTGAGGCAGGAAGATCAATTTAGCCCAAGAGTCCAAGGCCTGCCAGTACAATAGAAAGATTCCATCTTTAAAAAAAAAAATTGAGAATAGGGCCATAGGGATTTAGCTCAGTGGTGCTGCCACCTGCCTCACAAGCACAAGGACCAGAGTTCGATCCCTGGTACCAAGAAAAAAAAAGGTGAGTATAAATTCTAAAGCAGGCATTAAAATATCAAAAAAGTCTTAAGAGAATAGAGCAAAGGAGGAATCAAGCATATTTTTAAAAATTAACCTAAGTAGGCAGAAAAAGAGGGAAAAAAACAAATGAGAAAAGCCAGAGACAGCACATGTAAATATGCTGAATACTCCGATTAAAGGCAAAAATTGTCAGATTGGATAAAAAGACCCAATTCTATGCTGCCTAGAAAAACACGCTTCTCAAATCAAGACACAAGAACATTAAAAGCAGAAGGGTGAAAGGCTAGGGATTTAGCTCGTTGGTTCCGCTGCCTGCCTTATAAGTGCAAGGTCCAGAGTTCGATCCCCGGTACCCCACCCCCCAAAAAAAGCAGAAGGGTGGGAGAAGATCATGCCAATC